CAATGTTTGAGAGTATTCAGTGCTGCTGAAGGTGAAGAGATACAGAACACTAGAGTGGCCTTGAACGAGGAAAGCTGATGAATTTGTTGTGATAAGTTTTAATGGAGGAACAGGGATGGAAACTAGATTGAAGAGAATAGATCAAGCAGAGATAAGAATTGCTGAAACTTCTCTCAGGAGAGGTTCTGAGGAACAAAGCGTGGCAACTAAATTGCAGAGATGGGGTTTGGAGAGACCTGCACAGGTTTGAAAGCTGATAGAGGGGAGCAGGTAAAGGAAGAGCTGTTACCCCAGAAAGGGAAGGTCAGGACCTGTGTTAGAGGCTTAGCCTGGCAGGCATGGACCACTCCTTCCCTTCCTGTCAGAAAGGAGGAAAGAACAGATGCCAATGCAGATACATTTTAGGGAAAATGGCAAAAAAGTTAAAAGAGACTCATGAATGAATGCTCTGCGGAAGTGTGAGATGTTAGTGTGTACTGTTGTTAATGTTCTCTATTAATGTTGAATTAGTCACCTACCAGGAGCTCAGGAGGTCTGCACTTGCGGCCAGTCAGTGCCACCCCTCTGTAATAGATACCCCAGCCCCCTTGACTGCAGGGAAGGGCCGAATCATACCTCCTCATCTCCCAGGCACATGGATTGATCAGTGGGGAGGACAGGTGACCTACATCATACCAGTTGGAATCTTTTCAAACTGGAGCTGGGAGAAAAGAACTGTGGGTTTCTCTTATTCAGAGATACAAAGATGTGAATGGGTGCTGTTGATATGGACATGTTTATTGTTTCTTGTGTAGCAAAGAAACAGGGAGTGGGGATGTTTGGGATGGAAAGAGAAGAGTTGAAAGTAGAGGGGGCAGAGTTTATGTTTTTTTCCCAATTTTATTGAGAAATGGTTGACAAGGGGGTAGAATTTTAAATTCCTGTGTCCCTGTGGCCAGCTCCATCTGGATCTTTTTTATGGTTTGGCTACATAAACGTTAGGTCCCCCTTACCCTTAAGGTAGAGTTTAGATTTTTGAATTTGAAACTAAAGAAACCTTAACTAATATAATGTGAAGTCAGAATAGGATTGGTCAAGAGTTACAGTGTTTCTTTTCAGGTACAACAGAAAGGCCATGGGACAAAGAAGTGGAAAGTACCATCAAGACTGGTTGAGGTGATGGGCTGCCTGGGAAAGGATGTGAGGACTGTTGGCTGGAGATGAGGGGGAATCAAGGGACTTCAGTTCCTAACGAAGTGAAGTAGATACAAGGGTAGGCAGTTGTGATCAGGGTATATGAGTGTTGGATGCATTTGCAAAGCAAATTTTCCTTTTTTAAGAGAAATAATGGACTATCATAAAGCACTAAAAAGATTCAGGAAAATCCCTTTGTAATTTTTTCATTGAAAAGGATAAGGCTAACATCCCGTGTTTAGATTTGTTGCGTTATTTACACAAAGAGGACTTGACCTACAATATAGCAAGTTTGTTGAATTTTACAAGACCCTTTATAATAGAGTTTGTTGTGTGATGTGCAGCTGACAGGGAAACAAGAATCTTCTCATTTGAAACTCAGTTCTTTCTTCAAGAAAATATTCTCACAGGCAAAAAATTTGAAAAAAAAAAAAAGATCTAGGGCAGAATTGAATTTATTGGAAAATTTCTAGTTGCTTAGGTATCATTTTCTACCTTTATGAACAGGTAGTTTTTTAATCTTTACCATATTGTTAAATTACTCTGGTTAGTATTGAGAGTGATAGTGTATAAAAAACCTTTAGGGCTTCCCTGGTGGCGCAGTGGTTGGGAGTCCGCCTGCCGATGCAGGGGACACGGGTTCGTGACCCGGTCCGGGGGGATCTCACATGCCGCGGAGCGGCTGGGCCCGTGAGCCATGGCCGCTGAGCCTGCGCGTCCGGAGCCTGTGCTCCGCAACGGGAGAGGCCACAACAGTGAGAGGCCCACGTACTGCAAAAAAAAAAAAAAAAAAAACCTTTAATGGTCTGTCTCTTCTGAAAAGCCCACTATTACTTGTGGGTTCAGGACGGCTCCTACAAGGAATAGAATTAATGTAAAGACGCTTATCAGCAAGAGTCTCCTGAGGCTGGAGCTAGACATTGACTCTGCACTTCTGTACATGCAGACTCAAGAGACATTAGCTATATAATAGGTTGTCCTAGTTCTTGAGTGAATTTGAGTTCTTCAAAAAGAACATCCAATTTATAGCATGGTCTTTGTGCCTTGATTTACCCCTTATTTTCTTTTGATGTTTTACCATTTCTGTATTTGAGGACACGTTTTACCATACCCTGATAATGATGAAATGTGTCCTAAATTTTATTAGCTCCCATAATTATACAGTAGGTAAACTGACTACTGTAGCCACACTGAAGAACTCCCATGGAGTCTGTCAAGACACTGGCTAAAGATACATGTATCGCATCTTAAATAATATAAAATCTGTAACTAAGCATCTTTGTCCTGAATTGGGACGTGCTTTGCTAGAAAGGGAGTTCACTAGCTGGATGCAGTCTTTTTGATCACACACATGTAGACTTCCTCTCACACTTAGAAGATAGATCTACAAGGCAGTTCTGCCTCTGCTCTGCTGTGCTGCCTGGGAAATGTTATGAACTTACCATTTCCTCATGTGAAAGATGAGGGGTTGGATGGCATCTGATCCCCCTTTTCCCATCTCAGAGTGAATGAGATGAGTCTCATAAGTCCAAATCCTTCTTTAAAGAAAAATGTTCCAACTGCATCATGTTATTAGACCCATAGTCCTCTCTTCAACGCAATTTGCTGTTATATCTTAGAGATGCACTTGTGTTTTCTTTATAACATCTCACTCAAAAGTAAGAAACTAGAGGTGTGGGTAGCATTTTCTTGGATTAGCTGTAGTGGAACAACGTGATTACAAGGAGCTTACACGTGACGCCAGAACTGGGAGGTGTGGTGGGGCAGTCTTCTGCTGCCTGGACGGAGCCTTAGAGGCTCCAAGGAAGCTTTCTGTCTGCTGCACCACCGCACCCGGCAGTGCGGCACTCACCAACTGTAAAGCAGAGTCAGGAGGTGGGACCCATAAAAGCTGCTTAATCCATTCCTCTGTCCATGGACACCTAGCTTGCTTCCAGGACCTGGCTATTGTGAATAGTGCTGCAGTGAACACTGGAGTGCATGTGGCTTTTTTTTTTTTAATTTTTTTAAACATCTCTATTGGAGTATAATTGCTTTACAATAGTGTGTTAGTTTCTGCTGTATAACACAGTGAATCAGCTGTACATATACATATATCCTCATATCCCCGCCCTCTTGCGTCTCCCTCCCACCCTCCCTATCCCACCCCTCTAGGTGGTCACAGAGCACCAAGCTGATCTCCCTGTGCTATGCAGCTGCTTCCCACTAGCTATCTGTTTTACATTTGGTAGTGTATATAAGTCCATGCCACTCTCTCACTTTGTCCCAGCTTACCCTTCCTCCTCCCCATGTCCTCAAGTCCATTTTCTACGTCTGCATCTTTATTCCTGTCCTGCCCCTAGGGTCTTCAGAACCATTTTTTTTCCTTTAGATTCCATATATATGCATTAGCATACAGTATTTGTTTTTCTCTTTCTGACTTACTTGACTCTGTATGACAGACTCTGGGTCCATCCACCTCACTACAAATAACTCAATTTTGTTTCTTTTTATGGCTGAGTAATATTCCATTGTATATATGTGCCACATCTTCTTTATCCATTCATCTATCGGTGGACATTTAGGTTGCTTCCATGTTCTGGCTATTGTGAATAGTGCTGCAGTGAACATTTTGGTAAATGACTCTTTCTGAATTATGGTCTTCTCAGGGTATATGCCAAGTAGTGGGATTGCTGGGTCGTATGGTAGTTCTATTTTTAGTTTTTTAAGGAACCTCCATACTGTTCCCCATAGTGGCTGTATCAATTTACGTTCCCACCAACAGTGCAAGAGGGTTCCCTTTTCTCCACACCCTCTCCAGCATTTAATGTTTGTAGATTTTTCGATGATGGCCATTCTGATACAATGGAATATTACGCAGCCATAAAAGGAATGAAATTGGGTCATTTGTAGAGATGTGGATGGACCTAGAGACTGTCATACAGAGTGAAATCAGAAGGAGAAAGACAAATATCGTATATTAACGCATATATGTGGAATCTAAAAGAGTGGTACAGATGAACCTATTTGCAAAGCAGAAATAGAGACACAGATGTAGAAAACAAACATATGGACCCCGAGGGTAGGAAAGGGAGGGTGGGATGAATTGGGAGATTGGGATTGACATATATACACTACTGTGTACAAAATAGGTAACTAATGAGAATGTGCTGTACAGCACAGGGAACTCAGTGCTCTGTGGTGATCTAAATGGGAAGGAAATCCAACAAAGAGGGCATATACATGTACATATAGCTGATTCACTTGACTGTACAGCAGAAACTAACACACCATTGTAAAGCAACTTTATCCCAATAAAAAAACAAAACAAAACAAAAAGCTGTTTAAGTCATTGGCATAGAAACTCTGAAATTATTCTGAGATAGTCTCCCATAATTGGGCTTCAGTCTCCTTTCCATGTGTCTTACTCATTAAGTTGTTATGAAAACAGTTATATTTATTCCATTAATGAAAAGGTATGAATATTGAAATTTCCAAAGCAATGAAACTATAAGACCATATTTTGAATAAGAAAAATAGAGTACATGGTCTAATTTTAATCATGTCCTATATTTTACTGTGGTAAAATGTAGTACAGTGTTGTGTATCTTACAAATGACGTTTTTTACTTCATGAAAAGTCTCTCTCTTTCACAGAGCTCTACCTGCCCTGTGCTCCTTAGCCTCACCTGTGTTTTCTTCATTTCTGCAGTACCAATAGGATGACCCACAAGGGCCCTGGGAGTTGCTTGCTGACTCACTCAAGCCTTTTGGCTTTGGTCATTTGCTGAACGCAAAATGTGAAACAGGGTGAAAAGAATAATTCCATCTTGTTTTCTCTCTTTACAGGCTCTGTACAACTCAATCAAGAATGAGAAGCTTGAATGGGCAGTGTAAGTATGCTGCATGTCAGCCATTTAGTAAATGAACTACTTGCTCTTTTCTTACTGTCTTTCTTTGTGCCTTAGCGGTGACCCTGGAGAAGGATTAATTGCACCAACTGTTCTCATTTTACACCAGTGTCTTACCTACTTTGTATAAGACACATAAACCCTGAGTATCCCATGTCTTTTTCTTGGTACCCAGCATGCTCCTATTCTTATTTTAAGCTGTTTGCTATGCTTGTATGCAATCAATTATCTTTTTATAAAAAATAGCATTCAAAAAGAAAATATGGTAAAATTACATAAATTCCAGAATCTAAGACAGATGATTTGGGTACCATACACTGATTCTGATTATCTCCTTCTTATCATTATAGCAAGGTTTTCTAATCCTGTTTCCTGTGACACTAATTATACCAGGATATTGATAGATAAGCTTAAGAAATGATGGATTAAATGAAGCTAATTTTTTTTTTAACTGTAGAACTTCCAGGAGCTTGTACAGTGCTGATGTTTATTGTCAATCTGTAAGAGAGAAATAGAATTTGCAATGTTTCCTGAACCTATTTTGACAGTAAAATGTAAGGTTTCAAGGTACATACTTTGGGGGAGATAGTATTACAGATAAATTATAACTAACTCTATGTAGACCAAGAAAACCACCCTTGTTAAATTTCTACTAATCAATATAGCAGTTAAGAATTTAATTTTTTAGAAATTGTTAGAGCAGAATCTTTACTAAATTTTTAATCCAGTTATCAAGAAAATTAGAGCCAAATATGTTTTTAAATTAGAACTACATGTGAATTTTATTTTTGATTTTCACTGATATTAAGCTTTCATAAATATTTTTCTGACATGTTACCTAACATAGCCATCTACAGTGAACTTAGGTTTACAAATCATAACTTGGGGGAATAAATCTTATTCTTTCATAATGCACACTGTGGAAAAATGGTTTACCAGTTGACTAGATCTTACATATAACATGCTAGAATGAATTAAAAAATACCAATACCACTTAAATTGTTTGACTAATTGTAAGGGAATGTGGTACTATTTTAAATTGGGGATTCAAAGTATGAGACTGTAATATTTGCAAGTATATGTGATGGCCTATGTTTCTGTGTATGTATATCACCAGACTCAAGTAGAGATAGTGTATCATTTCAAGGAAAACTCATTAAAATTAATATGAATTCATGGCCTGAGGTCCAAAGCGATTATTTTTGGACTTATTTCTCATGAATGAAAGTGAGTTTCCTAGAAAAATTTCATAAATGATATACTTAGACCCTTGCTGAAATATGAAAGGCGTATCTTGACCTATGCAGGATGTCTACTCTCGAAAAAATTAATAGAATGAAATAATTGTAAATATATTCATATTGTGAGAGAGAATATTTTGATGATTCTTTTATAAATTTATTTCTAAAAGCAAATAAATATACTCCTGAGGATCTGTTTTGTAAATCTAGATTTTTGATATATTGAATTTGCTACATTAGGTTTTATTTACATTTATATATAGTGGCAATTCGGTATAAGAAAGCTTTATCTTGGGCCCTATCCATGGATGAGGGTGGATGTTTACCCAAGAACTGGATTCTTCTTTGGCCCTCTTGTCAGGTCAACAGGGCATTGTGTTCAAGAGCCCAGATTTCAAGAGTAAGACAGATTTGGGTTTGAATTCGAGCTCTGCTGTGTACCAGCTGGACCACTGGCCATGTGATCCTTGAGGCCTCAGTTTCCTCTTCAGGATGACACTGTGAAATATTCTAAAACAATAAGCATAAAGCAAGTTACCTCTCAAATGGTAACTAATATTGTAGCTTTTAAAGCTCAGATTTCTATTTTATTTGTCATTTCCCTTTTTATTTCTCTCTTGTTCATACGGTTTCCTATCCACATTTATTCATCACCTACCAAGAATAAGGCAATACAGTAATTTATCATATAATTAACTTTCTTCTCGTATAAAATGAAGCGATTGGAAGAAATGATCACAGCTGTCCTTTTCAGTTTTAATATTCTGTGAATTTTGAAACGTTACGACGTATCAGTATTTCTCAAGCTGGCTCCTTGTCTAGACACACTGCTGTTATCTAGAGGATATAAAACAAAAAGGGTTTATGGGTCAGTGTGATGGACTCTTTGAATTTCTTCAGTAGATAAAGGGCCAATATCCTAACCTTTTTGATCCCTGAGTCCTGTTTTGATAATGAAGTACCTTTCAACAGCTAATAAAACTAGTGTTCCCTAGAACAGTGGTCCCCAACCTTTTTGGCACCAGGGACCGGTTTTGTGGAAGACAGTTTTTCCATGGATGGGGGCAGAGGGGGGTGGGGAGGGATGGCTCAGGTGGCAGTGCAAGCGGTGGGGAGCCGTGGGGAGTGATGGGGAGCGGCAGATGAAGCTTCCCTCACTCTCCCGCCACTCACCTCCTGCTGTGAGGCCCGGTTCCTAATAGGCTGCGGACTGGTATCCCCAGGGGTTGGGGACCCCTGCCCTAGAACACACTTTAGAAAACCCTGCTGTCCATATATCAACTTATGTGATCTTCAGATCAAGAGCTAAGCTTTTTCATTCATAAGTAAGTATATATGCATGTGTGTAACTGTATGTAATACTGTGCTCCCCCAGTTTTCCTTGTATCTCTCCAGTCACACCTTCTCTGATTCATTTTCCTCCTATTAGCCATTAATGTTAGTATTTCCCGAAGATTAGCACTTAGAATTGTCTTTTCACTAAAGTCCCATTCTCATCAGTCTCATTCAGTCTTAAGAGTTCATCTGCCATATCTAAAAATTCTTACCTTATATGCAGCTCTGCCCTCTTTCCCAGATTTCAGTTCAACATTTGCATTTTTCTGCAGGACATTTCCTCTGCACTCAGCACTCATCATCTGTCTCTAGACTTCGTCACATGTTCTCCACTTCTATTAATGGCACCAGTATTTCCTAGATTCTGGGCTCCCATCATCCTTGAACCTCTCTGGCCCCTCGTTCGCTCCTGCGGAACTGGCCCCACCAGCAGCCCCACACCATTCCTGCTGCGGCACTCCGAGTTCAGACATCCCTGCTTCTGCCTCCTGACTGTCTCCGCCTCCAGCCTCTTTCCTCTACTTTAACCTGTTTTGAAGCCCTCCTCTGCTCTAAAATGTCATTAAGCTCTGCACATTGTGCCAGTAATCTATTTTATTCCCCGTACTTGTCTTCACACACCCTGTATGTCAACAAAGCTGCCACTAGATGCCATTCCCTGCACTTGCCCCATGGCTTCTGGCTTTTTGGACAGTGCTCATAAAGTAACCTCTGCTTAGAATCTACATCCCTGCCATTCTTTACAGCCCAGCTCATAACATGCTCCATGAATTCTTTCCTGATCTTACCAACCAGAAATAATCTCAGCCTTTAAACATCCACTTTACTTTATCTGATGACACAGTGATTTCTATTCTCAGTTATAGTTATTGATAGGAATGTTCCATTAAGACTGTAAGCTTAAGGAAGTTATACATGTCTGGATTTGTCCCTTTATATCCTCCTTTGAGGCGCATAGTGCTTATATGTAATGAAGTCTATATAAAAGTCTATAGAAAGAATAATAGCAACAGTGCAAGGAACTGCATTTCCTGAGAGATTTTCTACAGTTGTGTAAGTTTAGATAATAGTTACAGGAAAGGGGTTGCTACTTCAAAGTTTGTAGGATTTCGTAGTATATACTTGCATGGGGGAGATCTTGATATTGATTTATTTTATTTTTACTGAAGTATACTTGATGTACAATGTTATGTACATTACAGGTGTGCAGTATAGTGAGTCACAGTTTTTTTTTTTGTTTTTTTTTTTTATGATGTCCCAACATCTTTCTTTTTTTTTTTTTTTTAACATCTTTATTGGAGTATAATTGCTTTACAATGGTATGTTAGTTTCAGCTTCACAACAAAATGAATCAGTTATATATATACATATATTCCCATATCTCTTCCCGCTTGCGTCTCCCTCCCTCCCACCCTCCCTATCCCACCCCTCCAGGCGGTCACAAAGCACCGAGCTGATCTCCCTGTGCTATGCGGCTGCTTCCCACTAGCTATCTACCTTATGTTTGGTAGTGTATATATGTCCATGCCTCTTTATCGCTTTGTCACCGTTTACACTTCCCCCTCCCCATAGCCTCAAGTCCATTCTCTAGTAAGTCTGTGTCTTTATTCCTGTTTCACCCCTAGGTTTTTCATGACATTTTTTTTTTAAAGGGTATACTCCATTTATAGTTATTATAAAATATTGGCTATATTCCCCATGTTGTACAATATACCCTTGTAGCTTATTTTATACCTAATAGTTTGTACCTCTTAATCCCCTCCCCCTATATTGCCCCTCCCCCCTTCCCTCTCCCCGCTGGTAACCACTGGTTTGTTCTCTACATCTATGGGTCTGCTGCTTTCTTGCTGTATTCACTAGTTTGTTATATTTTTTAGATTCCACATATAATTGATATCATACAGTATTTTTCTTTCTCTAACATATTTCACTTAGCATAATATAATGCCCTCCAAGTCCATCCATGTTTCTGCAAATGGCAAAATTTCATTCGTTTTTATGGCTGAGTAGTATTCCATTGTATAAATACACCATATCTGTTTTTATCCATTCATCTGTTGATGGACACTTAGGTTGCTTCCATATCTTGGCAATTGTAAAAAATGCTGCTATGAACATTGGGATGCATGTATCTTTTCGAATTAATGTTTTTGTTTCTTTCAGATACTTACCCAGCAGTGGAATTGCTGGATCATATGGGAGTTCTATTTTTCGTTTTGTGAGAAACCTCCATGCTATTTTCCACAGTGACTGCACCAATTTACATTCCCATACACAGTGTATGAGGGTTCCCTTTTCTCCACATCCTCACCAACATTGGTTATTTGTGTTCTTTTTGATGATAACCATTCTGACAGGTGTGAGGTGATATCTCATCATGGTTGTGATTTTGCATTTCCCTTACGA